ATAGCTTTCCTTAAGGTTTTAATCATGGTTCAACTTTATTCTAGTGACTTTTATCCTTGCCAAAAAAATCTTATCCAAAGGGACGTAACTTTTCAGCAAAGTTTACTGTCGAGCGGGAAAAGTCAAGAGATGACAATATTTCTATACTCAAGTCAACCCTTTGGTTTCGAATGAAAAGTGGATAATGGTAAATATTGATGAGACAACAACCCAACGACACAGACAATCCATTCATTTTTTAATCTCTATCAGTAGAAATCAAAACAGGTACATGAAATAAAAATCAGTACAAGAAATTTCACTATATATTAACGGTAGAGTAGATGATAAACGTGGATCTTTGTTTTTAATCATTAATGCCACTTGCTTAGCGGAGGAACAGCAAGTACACATTTTTGACGTCTTTGGATTGACTAGGCCGGGGTTCGAACCCACGACCTCCAGCACTAGAGGCAAAAACACTACCACGAGAAATCCGAAGCTGTCAGAAAAATAGAATATCATACCAAAAAACTAAAGTGCAAAAAATAATCTAATCTCAAAGAACTCTCCGTTTTACTTAAGCCAGCAAAAAGTATTTAACCAATTGAAATCAGTGAAAACTTTACTTGAATATCGATGGTCGATTTCAGAGTAGATTTCATGCACGAACGCTTTCTGCACATTAGGTATTCTTGCAGCAATTATTTGAGGGATCCGTGTGTGGCCAGCTGTTGCAGGGCTAAATTTTTGTTTTTTTTTCAATATACCCTCATTTTTCAGTGGCATTCCAAGTTTCATGTCCATCCTCACAGTCGACCTTACATTTTTGCTATGAAGGGCCTACCTATTGTACTTATAATTAATGCGTTCTCGTTATGAACATACATGAAATATTTGCCACAGTACGTAAACCAAACAACATTTATCAAACAACTTCATAAATAATTCCTTGCAAACAGTATACGAAGGCAAGATATTGCACAATGTAATAAAGTAATATTTCCGTGTATATGTTTCGATAATTATGTTATTTCATTTTCAGTTATCTATTTGAAAACCACTACATGGATGAACAGTAATATCTATTTCTTTTTTTAGATTTTTATATTTTTTCTTTCGTTCTTAGATCTACTGTTCACGGTCTATTAATAAGATTATGTCAATTTATTATGAAACTAAGACATGTAAGAATAGATTTTCAAGGGGTGATTTCTTAGTTGAGACGTGTGAAGGACATGACGGAAGACTAAAATAAAAGTGTTTATTTTTATGTAATACATTGTATTTCAATTAAAGAACGATTGTCAATCTTGCCAAAATATCTCATATGTACCAGTTTTGAGCAAACAGCTCAAACCTTAATAACTTGATTCTAAATATATTACATTTTATAGGCCTTTTCAATACGATTTTATTCATTAAAGTTAACAGGCACGGTTTTGAACTAAGACAAACAAACAAAACAATATTTATAACTCAATCGTACTGGACAGAGAACATTTATTATTTTTTGCATTTGCATGTCACGTAGTGCAGGCAAAGAACATAATCAAACCAAAATGAACATTTATCTGAATATTCTCAAGGACCCTATGCATCTAGGTCTATTTTATTAGAAGTTGTGTTACAATCTGTTTAAATTTTTAATTGTTGGAAGAGATGTACTTAACTGTTTTCGTATGGTCTGGTCTTTATAAGATTTCAAGGTCGCCAATAACATGCATGAAATATTTGCCACTAAACATTCAGCAAATATCAATGAAAAAAAAATCCATGCATGAAACGGAAATTACCGAAAACAGTCATTGGATATATTGCATTAACGACAACTTTATATGATATTGAAATGTCATTCATTTTGTTTAGTACGATTCACCAATTAGAATGAAAAAATAATGATTAAAAAAGGTAAACCATTTCGGAATCGCTGTGATATGTGACTGCAATCCAACAATACAAGCTAAACAGTTTTTATGGTCTTAATATCTTTCCTATTGATTTGTGATACTCCTTAGTCTGGACCAATCAAATTATTTGCATTGACAATCATAACAGTATTATATTGTAAACGTTTGTTAAATACCAACACAACTATCTAAGATGACAAAACGCATCCAATTTTTATCCTATGGGAGAAAAAAATAATCCTATAGGACAAAGTTTATCCTAAAGGAGAACAAAGTATCCTACAGAACAAAATTTATCCTAAGAGAGAGAAAAAAAATCCGGTAGGAGAACAATTATCCTATGGGAGAGAAAACATCCCACAGGACAAAATAAATCCCTGAGGAGAAAAAATAATCCGAAGGGACATTTGTTTTCTGAGAAAAAGTCGTTCATGATAATCCTATAGGATAAGTAAAATCCTATCGGATTTAACATCTTTTTTTGAAAATCCTACAGGATTTTAAATCCCGTAGGATATTAATTTTATCCCATAGGAGATAAATTTTCCTATAGGATAAATAAATCCGATAGGATCTAAATATCCAATAGGATATTAAAAATATCCTATGGGATTATAACTTTATCCTATAGGATTTCATAAAATCCTGTGGGATTTTTAAAAATCCTGTGGGAGGAAATAATATCCTACAGGATTTTGTCACTGTTTTCACTCTAGTTGCCGAACCAGGGGAGCCACACCAATTTTTTTTTTGTATTGTTTTACCTATCCCTAGAGGTACATTATTGCCAAATAAGTTGATTCTACCGTTAAAAAAAGTGTGGTTCCAATTTGCACTCATGAGAAGTGCAAATTAATCCAAGAACATTTTAATATGTAATTCAAACATCAGTATCAAACAAAAAACTTCAAATATAAAGATGAATAAACTTTAACCAGAAATAAAATTTACCAAGAAAATTCGACTGTTCAGATTGACGGTGTCGTGCTGAATGATTACATAGTCAATAAAATACCGCGAAAAATAATTTGAAGTGGGAAAACCTAACGCCCTCTATGCTACATATGATGAAAACACCCAGGAGAAATTAATTTCATTTTAATGCACTGCCCGTATTAACGAATGAAATTACAAATATAATGCCTATCCATGTTAAAACTACAATAAAGTATAGCTTGCATCAATTATTTTTATGCCCCCGCCGTAGCGGAGGGGGCATTAAGTTTTACCCTTGTCCGTCTGTACATACGTACGTACGTCCGTCCCGAAATTGGTTTCCGTTCTCTAACTTGAGTTTGCCTCAACCAAATGTTATGAAACTTATACACAATGCTTATTACCACAAAACACAGATCAAGTTTGAATTTTGGTGGAGTCACTTTAACCGATCTAGAGTTATGTCCTTTATAAAAGGAAATATTGCAAAATTTTTAGTTTCCGTTCTCTAACTTAAGGTTGCCTCAACCAAATGTTATGAAACTTATACACAATGCTTATTACCACAAAACACAGATCAAGTTTGAATTTTGGTGGCATCACTTAAACCGATCTAGAGTTATGCCCCTTTATAAAAGGAAATATTGCAAAATTTTTATTTTCTTCTCAATATCAAGTTTATAATATATTTTTAAAATTGGAGTTATCTTCCTTTGACCATGATTATAGTTGAATCAACTACAATCAATGCTTTATACAATGCAATATTTAATTTTGACTTCCACTGATAAAACACAGATCAAGTTGAATTTGGGTAGTGTCACTTTAACCATTATTGAGTTATGCCCCTTTATAAATCGAAAGATTGCAAATTTTTAGTTTCCATTCTGTAACTGAAGTTTTCCCCAACCAAACATTATGAAACCTATACACAATATTCATTACCACAAAACTCAGTAAAGATCAAGTACAATTTTTTTGTTTCCGTTCTCTAACTTGAGTTTGCCTCAACCAATTGTTATTAAACTTATACACAATGCTTATTACTACATAATACAGATTAAGTACGAAATTAGGTGGCAACACTTTTATCATTCTAGAGTTATGTCCTTTTATAAACATAAAAATTGCTGAATTTTTTAGTTTGTCTCAACCAAATGTTGTAAAACTTATACACACTCACGTTAGAGTTATGCGTGTTTACAAATAGAAAAATTGCTGAATTTTTAGTTTCTGTTCTCTACTTAAGTTAGCCTCAACCAAATGTTATGAGACTTACACACAATGCTTATTACCACAAAACTCAGATCAAGTTCAAATTTGGGTAGCGTCACTTTTTCCGTTCTTCAGTTATGTCCCTTTATAACTATATGATATGCAAGCGGGGGCATCATCTGTGTCCACATGTGGACACTATCCACATTTATTTAATTATATTTTGGTTTATACGCTATCATCTTTTTTATAAGTTATGATTTTATACATATTTCTGCTTCAATAGCCATTATTTTTGTCGAAATGAGCATCTGATGCAGAAAAAGTTGCGTGCAGTTATGTTATCAAAATCTTAATTTATTAACCCTTTTCCTGTTTTTGCCTTTAAAAGATATACACATATGCCCTGTGGATTCTCTGGTTCAAATGAGACCTACAATATATACATTTATTATATACGGATGAAAGTTTTGTGAGCGATTTATTCTCAAGACATTCCAGTATAAAATATAGGTATATATGACAATACTATTAGACTTTCGCATGCCTACAAAAATATAAAAAAGAGGCAAAAATTTCAAAAGGGATATTCAAACTCATTAGTCGAAAAAGGAATGGCAATGCGAATGGCAAAACAAAACCAAAAGAAAAGACCAAAACACCTCATACAAACTAGTTATTCGTTACCATAGCTTACTTAAAGATTTTGTTTGCAAGTTTGGCTGTTGTTGTAAAAAAAAACTTATTTCAAACGGAAAAGCACTTGCTAATTTTTTTTTATATATATTTTATTTTATTTCAAAATGCAGGATTTTACATCACCCTTTCAGTTCCCTTTGCAACCTAATTATTATATCACAGAAATCAACCTGAGTTGAATACAATTCAGTTGCCAAATAACCTGATACTTATATCGATTACGTTATTCATGAAATACAAAAGGAACCTTTAAATCAATACCTTTTCGTTCTCCTCTGTGTGTCTCGTGATTCCTAATATTGTTTAAAGTAGGTGCCAATGGTCTCACACACGTACTGGGATACTGTGATGTCGAAGGCTGATACTCATTTCCATTCGTTCTTGAAGAATGCGGTGAACGAAAACCGGAACTGCCTTGCACCCTTTCATCATGCGTTGTACTTTCTAGTGACCCCTTATGAATCTTCACAGGAACTATTCATAAAATGTTAACATTTATAATTAAAAAGGTCATACAACTTTCTCGCGAAATGCTCTATTGAAATTAACATTATTAAAGATTATTTTCAAATCATTTTCAATGCGGTTTTACTTTTCAGCCAACGTTTGACTTTCGTTCTCTATATACATATTTGGATGTGACGTCTTAAGGCAATTAGATGAAATATTTTTTTAATTCTTAAAAACTGAATATGATATTTCCATATCATTGACTGACTGGCTGACGTACCTTCATTATTGTCATCTTCATCATATTCTCCAGTATCGGTCATTTTCTACAACTAAGATGGCATAGATTTAATGTAAGATTTAATTAGCATACATGTATTATTTCAGGCAAGATTAATACAATAAACTAGCTGGATACGAGAATGAATGTGTCAAAACTGTTCAAGTTTCCTTCGTGATAAAAATTTAACGACATGTAGCTTCAATGAAATGAAACAATTATTCACGAAAGACCAATTGTCATTCAAATGCAAAACACTTATTGTCCAATACAGGATATCATCTCTGATAGGATATAAAATTGACACACGTGAGAATCCAAGCATATATATTAATGACAAACACAAAAATCATTTGGGGAGTTACTTGGAATATTAAAGTTACATACGCAGAAAGGCACAATCGTTGTTTAGAAAATAAAAGCAGACATTGGTATGATTATCAATTTCGTAATTCATTTATAAATAGTAGACAAATAGAATATGGTTTTACATGATCATACATTTAGTAGATATAGGAAGATGTGGTATGAGTGCCAATGAGACAACTCTCCATCCAAGTTACAATTTATAAAAGTAAACCATTATACATAGGAAAAATTGCAACATATGTTTTCATATGTTTAACATATGTTTTTCATATGTTTGAAAACATATGTAAACATATGTTTAGGCCCGACATGAAAACATATGTTTTCGAACATATGAAAAACATATGGAAAACATATGAAAAACATATGTTTTTCATACATGTAAACATATGGAAAACATATGTTTTTCATATGTTTTTTACAAACATATGTTTTTCATATGTTTTCATACCCGGCCTAAACATATGTTTTCATATGTTTGTCCTAAACATATGTTTTCATATGTTTGGCCCAAACATATGTTTTCATATGTTTTTATATTGGTCCTAAATATATATTTTTATATGTTTTTTTTAAATTGTTCAAATGCATTTATTTTCTCATGTATATGTATTTTTTTTGGGGATAGGTTTTTAAGGGTAATGTTTTGATGTTTTTCTTCTTTATCTTTTTTTTTCTGTCAGGAACTCATTTTGAGTGTAAATACTTCAATGTGATGAGTTGCTGTTTTAAAAAGTAAATAAACCAAAATACCTAACTCCACAGAAAATACATTGCAAAATCAAAAGCTCAAACAAATAAAAAACAACTGTATACAGGCATTCCTTTATGCAGAAAAATAATAATCACAGTCAGTGCTCCATAATTTAAATATCAAGTAGAACCTATTTTTTATTAAGTTGTTGTCTCTTCTATTTTCATATTTTTGTCTCTTTGACATACCCCATTTTTATTGTCTATATTCTACTTTCATATTTTTCCTTCTTTGACATACCACATTTTTATTGTCTATATTCTATTTTCATATGTTTGTCACTTCGACATATACCATTTCTATTGTCTATATTCTATTTTCATATGTTTGTCTCTTTGACATACATGTACCCCTTTGCTATTGTTTATATTCTATTTTCATATGTTTGTCTCTTTGACATATCCCATTTCTATTGTCTAGATTCTATTTTCAAATGTTAAGTAATTACTACATGTATTAGTATTGAGGGTAACATAATGATGTATGTGATATTTCTATATCATCATACCCAGATATATAATTGTCTACACTGCTTGCTATTTCTGGTAACATGTAACATGTATGATTAAGAAAAACAACTAGATTGACTTTTGATTTTGAGTTCAGTATAATTAATATTAATATAAAATCAATGTTCTTTCTTTGTTTCTTTACTTCTCAGTTCCTGCAAGTGAAGAAAAGAGTAATTGCATTAGATAATGATATTAATTTGCACTTGAGAATAAAGAATAAAAATCTGAATACAGAAATGTTTAGAATTTAAATTTTGTATGATAAATTCATTTATAGGTATTTGTTGTTTCTTTTTTTGCAGTTGATGCAATTTCTGTATACAACTTTATTTAAGGAATGACTGTAATAACACGCATTTTAAAGTGTGCACCACATTTTTTATGTTATTTTGAATAGACAGAAAAAATTGCTTTAAGTTATGTTTAGTTCTCTCACTTTTATGCTACTTCTGATATTCTAGGTTGCATTAAAAAGACAATAAGTATCAATATAACATATGTTGTAGCATATTCTACTATTTTCATTGGATATTACGATCACATGTTTCAAAGGTTATTTTACGTATCCGAAGCCTTGTATCTTTTTTTACGTATATTGACGCTATGTTTCTATTTAGGAGATAACTATGTTGTATTTTAAGCTCTGACAGCATCAATTGGTGATTTGATGGTTGCAAAATTACGCTATCTGGCGATGCAATGATGCTGTTAGAGTTTAAAATACAATATTGTTATCTTCATTCTAATGAAACTGCCAGAAGCATGTTTTTTTTCTCTTTTCAGGACTTTTATGATATGTTTGTGAATGACTTGGTTCAGTTTATTTAAGAAATGACTGTAATATTTTTTCTGTCTATGAAGAAATAACATCAAAAATGTGGTGCACACTGAATAACCCGCGTAGCAGATTATTTTAAAGTGTGCACCACATTTTTTATGTTATTTCGAATAGACAGAAAAAATATTACAGTCATTTCTTATAATTTAATTCTTAATTCCATTTTAAACCGGAGTAAATCATGAAAAAACGTTGATGACGTCAAGGTCACATGACAAAATTATGTCTATGAGATGATAAACAAAACAACGTCAGCCAATCGGAAGACGCGTTACATCCAAAATTAAATTATACACCAATAAATTCCTTTAAAAAGGCGTTTAAGTCTTATAATTTTTTAAAATTGGAGATAAAGAATTAATTTTTCCACACTGAGTCTCGTAACCTCTATCATACGTAAATAGTACATTGTGTCACTGAATTGGCCTTGCACATGAATATATTTGTTCAACAGGTTAACGCAGGAAATTTTCTATCTGATAAGAAATGAAATACAAAACTTTTTATCATTAAACAAATAAATATTTTGTGTTTATTATTTAATTTGATGATAAATGCGAAGTGAAAATAAATATTTTAAACGTTGAGCCGGGATGTGTTATTATCCGCCACCATCTTGTTTACATTGGTTACAAAAAGAAGTTCGGTCAATGTTGCCTACCAAAAAACAACAACGTCAAAAACAACTACCGGAAGTCATCTTGACAAATCATATCAACGTATTCCCCAATATGCAAATCATATAAGAATTATAAATTAAGGACTTTCACTCGGTCAATATAATCTGAACAGGTCCATATATAACGTATTGACCTCGTCAAAAGTCCATAATTGATAACTGTCCCATAGTATCGCTTTCTGCAACACTTAAGTCACAGGCAAGAAAAAACATCACAAATTGAGATATGGCAATCCTTTAAAAAAAAAACTTGCTATTTTAATTGATAAATTGACCCAAAAAAATATATCTGTTTTAAGGAGGCTTGAGGTTACAAAAATTTAAACATTTGTTTTTTTCATTACAAATTTTATTTATTACACAATTAGTTGTTACTTTATGATATGGTACTAAAATCAACCAAAACATTCAATTCGTTGACCTATATTTTTTATTACTTTTTTCAAATAATCTGTTTCTAAACTAAACAATTGTAAAATTTATGCAATTTCTGTAATTTAGTTCTTTTTTTATTTCGATATTAGCTATTTTTCTCCTAATAACAAAAATGCAGGTTTCTTTTGAAGGCAGATTGTCAGCTTAAATTATTTTACTTATCCATTAAGTATATGATAAAGTTCATTTTTTTAAAATATAGCAAAAATCCTATACATTTATATAAAAAAAAAATGGGTTTTAAACACGCAAGCCCCTTAAAAACTTGTTTTTGCATTTGTTTTCTTTTGTATTTGATTAATTTACATATTATATATCAAGGCTTTTTTCATAAAAATAAAATAAATTTCATCTATATCTAGCAACCTACAAAGTTGTTAGTTAAAAAGTAACAACCCAATATTATTAGATTGAGAATTATCTTATCAATTAGTATACCTAATCTCTGCAACCTTCTCCTACTGTCAATCTCTTGCAATTTATCCATCCTTTTGGCATCATTTTTTATGTCCTTCATTGTTTTGTCATGATATTCCTTAAGGGTCTGCCAAAAGTTACAGTAGAATTCTAATGAGTCACTCCCATCAAGATTCAGTTTCTTGGTGTGCAGGAATGACCTCTAAAACAGTGAGGAAAAATAAAATAATAAAAAAGACACTCTGTTAGGTAATAAGACAAACATTCACCAACTAAAGGCCCAGACTACCATAATGTGATAGTAAAAATAAGCCCTATTGGCATTTTCATGAAAGGTTTTAGGACCTATCCAAAATTAAAGTTGCATTTGCCAAGTTGACCATGTGAAGCCATTTCTCCCATTCCATAACAAACTAGATAATTCATATTAAATTATAAACATTAGATGAGTAGAATCAGAATTTTATGGAAATGTTTGATTTGAGCCCCTCCCCAACCCCACCCCCCCCCCCCCCCCCCCCACCCCCCTCATTTTCATGAAAAAAGGTTTTAGGACTTAACCAAATTTAAGTTGCATTGGCCAATTTGACCTTGCTCAGCCATTTCTCCTGTTCCATAATAATCTAGATAATTTTGTTTTTAGCCCCCTCCCCCCTCACTTCTTCTCTGAACTGGTCACAAACCCTCAAATTCAAATTAATCCATTTTCCTATTAAATGTATATTTAATGCAATATAATCAAATACAGTGCAAAATAGGTTTTAAATATAACTTTCAGTTTAAATTCCTATGATTATCTGAGATATCACATGCTACATGGATGAATGGATGAATAGTTGTTTATAACGTCAAATGATAAGTTAGATATATATTCAGTGGGAATATAATATTGAGAAATGAAGATTGAACCTGCTATTTATAAGAGCTGCACCAAAGCAGGATTTTTAAAGTGCTAGCTCATAAGGTAACAGATGGCAGAAAGACGTGTCATCTTACACAGACACATTTTTCTCTCTCAGTGCCCACCAGTGAGTCCTATTCTTACTGA